CGTGTCCCCCACTCGAGCGACTCAGACCGCGAGGACACTGGCACACCATCGCTCGCGATCGCGCGGGCGGGTCACGGCACCAGCGTGTCTGCGTGTGTGGCGGGTCATGTCCGGTGCCTGGTGGCCCAGTTTTCTTCAAGAGCCTCGGAGATCTTCAGAGGGGTCAACATGGGTCAACCAGTTTCTTCCGAGGCTTGGAGATTCAGCAGGCTCAGAGATCCCAGACATGACGGGACTGCCATAGGACTGCCGCCCCAGACAGACCCCCCTGGCACCACGCCTGGCCGTTTCTCGGCAGTCCTATGCCAGTCCCAGACAGGTGATCGCCGACCCGATCGGAGACCCACCCGATCGGAAGTCGGTCGGTGCCATGCGGCGTTCGTTGTGGTGTTCCCGGACTCGAGAGGGGAAATGGATCAGGTGCAGTGACCCCACCAGGACACCCGGACCAGGGGTGTTTATTGATAGCCCCTTGGAGGTTAAAGGGTGTCCATTAACCACCCCGACAGTGGGTCCTAGTATTTGTTGAGGTCATACTCAAATCCATATCCAACACGATCCAACCATCGCAAGTCATGGAAGGTGTTGTTTTCGCCAGGTTGTGCCCTTCACGGCCACCAAGAGACGATGTCTTCAGAGGACGCAGCAATTCCCAAAAATCTACGATTAAATTCCCAGGATTTCCCCCCCAGCCATCAAATCTTGCAGTTAGAACCAGCATGTCCCATGTATGGCAACTGATTTTTCAAGGCGTTTGTTCAGACTCAGAGGCGTGTTTGCTTATCACACCCATTGTAGTAGGGGCGGAGGACTTAAGGAAGACACGCGGTTCGGGGATGGCTCGAAGCAAAATTCAATGTAATGTCGGAGTGTTTTGTTTGGGGAATTTGTTTTGCAAAAAAAGTGATGCTCAGTTGAGAGGAGAGGGGTACATCTTCAAGGAAGATAGAAACGTGATGAAACATGTCACTTCTGCAGATATAGGAAGTAGGTAGATGTAGGACGTAGGTAGATCTTGTATATTATAGATTTCACTTTGCATCCCTATCAGATTCCCTGTTTGCATCACTGGCAAGGTGACCTACAACAGCCTCTTGAGTGCCTGTGAGGCCGGCGGTTCAGAAGGACGGATCTTTGGTCCGTCCGTGGCCTTCCGACCGCACCAGTCTTACTTCAGCAAGTGAACGAAGCCCAAACGCTGTTTCTCGAATTTTACAGGTGGTCAACACCTAATTATTTGTTTTACTTTTGCAGGGGAGCGGGATCATTTCCAAAGTGAGCATGACACATCATCTACCATTTATCTCAAATGTGACTTCTTGTTCCCTGTTGCCGCACGGGCTCGGCGCGGGACTTCCGTCGCTCGGGGATTCATGGAGGTTCGATCATCCTTTGTAGTCCTGCATGGATCAACATCGATCCGATCCCCCCCCAAATAAGGTTGCAACTGGATCGAGCTGGGGGATGTCTCAAGGGCCCAAAAAGGATGGGATGCCCCTGGCCCTGGCTCTGACATTGGTTCCCACACATTGGGAAGAAGTCAACCGGACATGGGCAGCTAGGATCATCAGATCATCCGGGATGGTGGTGACGCGTCGCCAGCGGTGGGTCGCCAGCTTGTGGGCGCAGGTGGGGCTCCCCTGGTCCAGTCTGCTGCATCTCCTCAGCCTCTCCCAACATCTTCCGGAGCACCGGGGTGAAGCTGATGCTTGGGCCGCAGCGCCTTGGTGTCAGCGATGGAGCGAGGAAAGGGAAAGGGTTGGTTACTGGGAGTTTTGTGTACAGCGGCCACGTTCGTCTACATTGGTGGCTGCATGAGGTGCTTATAGATGCTTGCAGTATACCGTATTCATGTCCAGGATCAAGGTCCAAACCACCCCACGACTAGGCCCAGGCCTGAAAAGGACTCTTTGAAGCCCTACGTAGTAGGGAGTGCTGGCTGGGCCATATCAGTGCTGACCTCGGAGCGCCTGCTGGGTGAGTAGTCCTACCTCGGTCCCAAAAAGGGTGGCTCAAGGAGTCGTCCTTTTCAAACCAAGACATGTGAGATGAGGGGGTGGTTTGTTCAACCCCCCTTTGACACTGGCAGCTTGGAAGAGTCAGGCACTGGCAGCTTGGCCACGTTTGTCCACAACTCATCCACGCGCCACTTGTTCAACTCACTGCATCACCCACACCCTTTAGACTGGCAAATGGAAGTGGAAGCTGATGGACCTAGAGAGGCCTCTTTTCACGCAACCAACGTGCTCCAGTCGCTCAAGAAAAAACTTCTGAAACCATTCGGATGGCCCGGAGGTGGGTGTGGAGCGGGACTCCACAGGTACCAAATGCGCCCGAAAGCGGCCCACCCAGCATGGGCCGCTCCCAGGTGGCGTCCGCCTGTGCCAAAACCCTGGCGTGGGCTGTAGCCCTGGACGCCCTTGAGGTGGAGCCAAAAGCTGTGTTTGGGATTGATTCTAGAAAAACAGAGAAAGAAGCTGGAACGATTGGAATGCTTGTTTTAAATCTTGTTTTGGTGGTTTGGTTTGCATTGCCCACACCGTTGGCTCGCTTGTTTGATTCAGGCGTTTGATGTCTGACTCATTCTCTTTTGTGACCGTCCTCCCGCGTTGGCTGCTGAGTCCAGGTCATCCGGGCTCCGCCGTTCCAGTCGTCGCTTGCTGAGTCCAGGTCATCCGAATGACCATGCCAGAGGCTGCATGGCACGCGACGCTTCGAGCTTGCGCACTGGCCTTGAAGTGGACGCTCGGTTTCGGACGGACGTCCGCGGGGCGGTCCAGCCCCGCGGAGCTCCACTCCGGGAGAAAGGACAAGACGTGGAAAGACATGGATGGTTTTCGAATGCGAGGCATTGGAGGAACCCCAGCTTATGGTTGGATATTGTTTGTTTTAGTGATAGTGATTTCTTACTCAATACCTTGTGCGATTAGGGGTTGGGAATTTGGTGGCCCAGAAACCGGTCGTCACTCGTGCCATGCACCAACACATGCTAAGGTTTTTGAGAGAAGAAGAGCCTTGTACAACTAGGCTTGGTGTGTATTTTGGAGGAGTTTTTCCCTTCCCTACACAGGTGAGACTTAGGAGATTTTTGGTAATTTCACGTTAAATACTTCTATATAGTATAGGTCCTGCTGACTGCTGATACTGATACTGTATATAATGCTGGGGGTTTGTCTCACAATGTGGGGCACCTCATGCTAGAAGGCAGTGTATATAGGTGCAAAATCTCGCCCCAGGCGCAGTGCTCTGGTTTTGCTACATCAGGGCCAATGCCAACAGCTCCAAATGCCAAGGCCGAAGTTGCAAACCGCGCAAAGAATGGATGAGGTTTCCTTAGCAGGTACCTTCATCACTTTACTGGGACCGTCTTGAAAAAGGTTCAGCTTCTTACTTCTACCAGATTGTTGAGTTGTTAGATCATTGTGTGACTGTCTAGAAGACAGAATCAACAAATGCGGAAAACTTGCGGATGGGTTGACATTGGTTTCACTTGAATGACTCCCTGCAGCACCAGTTCACCATCAAACTGCCAAAACCATCCAAAACGACAACGACTGTAAATACCACCGGTTGTGGTTTTCTTGGCCCAGAACTTCTACCTCCAATGGGGCGCCCCAACTATTTAGCAGCAGGATCATACTAGGTGCAATACCGGCCTCCCCCTTTCCCCCCAAAGCCGAGCCTCAACGCAAACAAATGAGGACACCTCCATTCATTGTGTTTCTCTGTAGATTTGTATAGGCATGCTTTCCTCCCTTCAAGGTGTTTTGACCCCTCCAGATGCCCATGTTTCCGAGGAGCTCCGATGTTTCGTCACTGCTGGTCGCGGCCAGAGGGGAGCGCTGGTCGACCGCAGAAGGAGGGCGCCCTTTTCACGCCTGGCAGCTGGAGGAGGTACGTCGTGCGGCCGTCCAGGCCAGTGCTGTGGAAGAAGAAATGGCTGAGAAGACAAAGACAATCAAAGACAATCTGAGAAACATTGAGCTGAGCAATGATTCATGTCACATGTTGAGCCATGGACAGGAACAGAAGATGTGCACCTTCAAAATCAATTGACATGAACATATATTGTATAATCTGGTATATATATATACTGCAACCTAGCAACAAATGGCGATTTGCAGTTGAGATATGCTGCTATATGTACCACAGGTGCCACGGTCCGTGGGTCTACCTGCACCTGTCAGGCCGACGAGAGTGTTGAGGAGACGAATCCAAATGCCCAGCTGGCACGGGCGGCACTGAATTCCTTGCACGTGGTGCGAACGAAAAGCGTGCTGACCTGTGGCTGCAAAGGTATGCAAAAATCCAGCAGCTTCCCAGTAAGAGATGGCAAACGAGTCCTTTTCCGGATGATTTTTTTCCTCTTACAGGGCGGGGTTGAACAGTCCATGCTGACTGGCTCCTGCTTGGTCTCCTGGATTTCCTTCCCGGCTCCCCCAGCTTCCATCCCAAACCCCTTGGCACGGTCGGAGCTCGATTTCGAGATGGTGACGGCTTGTAGGAGTTCGACTCAGCAAAACACGAGGACTACATGCAGGGATCCGCCGAAGGCAATAAGAAGCACCAGGCGTTCTCATTGAGAAGTACTGGGGCAGCTTTCCACTTGCAGAGTCATGTACTGAGACCATTGCCCAGTACTCAGTACATCTCAGTATATACAGAAACCCTGCAACAGGTCTCCCTTTGGAGGCTTTTAGAGACTGACTTACATGGAAGTGGCAGGTGACCTGTGAAGTCGGGTGTCTTTACATGATTGGTGAGAGAAACGCAGCCGAGTCCATGAAACATTCAAGTGCACGACCGTGGTCATTTGTAGGCGGCCAGTCATGGGAATCCATTTGTCAGCAGTTCCCCCAAACAAAAATGAGCATGTTGCAAACCACTCGATCCGTTTCACAAGAAAACCTCATTGTTCAACCCTTTCCCTGGATTTGCTCGGTTCGTTCTTGGTATCCCAGCGCCATGAGCCGTTTCGGTTGGTTCGCTCCCCGCTCGAGGCGTCGGCATCCGAAGACAAGACACTGGACTTAGAGCAACTCGTTGACAAGATAGAGGCCCCTACATGCCCCAACGTAGTCCCCAAAATGCATCCATCGGCTTAAGTATTATATTTACTATATGTTACAGCGTATGTTAATTTGGGGGTTGTCAAGTGTTTACAATTTTCTTATGGCATTCTTCTGTGGTGAGCAAAGATGTACGCAGCTGTTGGGGAAATCCATATAAACGCGTTTGATCATGTTTGGGCCAGATCATGTTAATGCTATCATGTTGGGAGTTGTGATTATGCTGTTTGATCATGAGGGGGTTAGGGGGAGCCAGCCCAGGCGTCTAGTGGCTGAGATGCGAGAGCGAGATGCAGCTCAGCTGCATATGGATGTGGGCTGAATCTTCCACAGGCAGTGCTGAAAGAGGAACATGGTGCCCCACAAGACCAGTTTTTGGCTAGAACGGCATCTACTTTCGTCATCTCTTTCCAAATTTGAAGCACCGATGGAGGTCAAATGAGGCACGTCAAGGATCATAAAGGGACCTTTTGGAATATTGTTGATATGACAATGAACAATTAAACAGTTCAGTGAGGAGAGCAACAAAGTTGTTAAACCGTGGCCGGCTGGAGGGACTAGTCGAATGGTTCATGAGGCATACTGCATAATAGGTCCGAAGAAGTAGCTCCAGTTCCAGGCAACTCCAGGAGGCTTTCGTTTGGACTGAGTTGGGAGTGGTTCGGTGTTCGCTTTCGTCGGAAGGGGAGGCGAAGCATGTTCTTTTCTCGATGACACTTGGAACATGACCCCCACATCGACATCCGCTAGTCCGCTTTGATACACTTGCTGTGGTCCTCGTCGGGACAGAAAAGCAACAGCAAGTAGTTTTTGGCCGCCGTACCTTGTAGGCCCCAGCCGGTGAGCCACAGTTTTCGGTTTGGCACTCGGCTCAGCCTGGTGGGTGTTCAGAGTGCCCGGGCGGCAAGAAGCATACTGACCGGTAGTACTGGAACACAACTTTGGCCAACTTGTTGATGGGAACATGGATAAGCTGATAACCCCCCTGAGGGTTGAGTCCTTCACTTGTGATCGCACTCCCACTTGCAATAAGATCTCAGAACTGCAGCCTGAGTGAAGAATGACTGAAAGATACTCGAAGATACTGAAAGACCATGAAAGACCAACAGAACCCATCCAACACATATACCACTTTTTTGACACCGAACCCATCCAACAGGACCTGCTCCAAAGGGTGTTTGACCCAAATCCGCCCACACGGCGGAGCGCGCCCATGGAGTCGTAGCTGTGAGTTCAGACCGCGACGCGACCTGCAGGCGGGATGATTTGGGATCGGCATACGCGGAGGGAAGTCCTGTTGGTGGTGGAGTGGTGGAAGCAATTCAATCAGAACGACTTGGGCAATCTTTGGCATGTTTGTGAGGTTCCTTGTTGGTGGTTGAGCTTTTGTTGATGCCCTCACCTAAGCCGCCTAAGCCCGCCTTTGATCGGAGACTCGGATGGAATGCCATGGTGCCGGGACCAAGGTCCAAATCAGCAGCAGAAACCTTAAAGAGGACCAAAACAAACATCTTATAAGACCAACAAAATTTAAGAGAAAGACCGGCGTTGCAGTTGGACCTCTTTCTCTTTCAAGGAATTCTAGGGCTTCGGCCTTATTTTGGGGTTCGCGGCCGGCCCCAACTGGCAAAGCGTGATGCGTGCGCGGAGTGGCGTGATCCTTCACCGCCTAACATGGAACCTGAGAATTCCCAGACACTCCATGCCATATGTGCCGATCAATTGGGGTGGTGTTGGGGGTCAATTGATCGGCAGTCCTATGGCAGTCCCAGACACGTCGTGTCTGGGAATTCTCAGGTGGAAGGCCATTTTCCTCTACAAACCCAGTGGCCCAGTGGTTTTTCCCTGGTGGACCTGACCGGCCTTTGCACCGGGCAGCACACCGGCCCCCACATGCGCGAAGCAGGCGTTTGTCCCAGGCCCATGCGGCGCTTCCAGAACGGGGCTGCGCTGGCACTGCCTCTGACATGTGACTCTGGTTCCATCGTTTTTTGCGGGGGAGGATGGGACATGAGGCTGGTGCATGGAGACACTTGTTCGGCAATTTGACTCAGAGGCTCCCCCGAATGGGATTGATCAGTGAATTGATCAGGGGTTTGGAGAAGTGTCCGTTGAAAGACCCAGCATTTGAGGCAGCAACCTTGCGGGTGGTGCGCTGAACCATTCCGTTTACTGACGCGATGGGTCTCGCCAGACCGGAGCCAGGCTGTTTGGAACACCCAATTTCATCCGCTCTTTTGGACACGTTGTCAGCGGAACTGACCCGGCTGTGAGGTAGCTTCGTCGCCGCGTACATGGTCCGCAGGTTGTGCCTCGGATTCGGAGCTGTGTCCCCTTTCGTTTGAAGAGTCGAACGGGTAGAGGTGGAGTCGGAGCCTTTTGAGGGGAGCGACACGGAATTTTCGCTTCCGCTGTTTGGGTGTGATGATCAAGATGCCGCTGGATAGGCGACCGCCGTCGCCAGATGGTTGGGCCCCTTGAGACCTGGAAGATGAACCTGCCTTGCTGGAGGAATAACACATGGACCATCATGGACCTAATTACTGTAGGAGTCCAAGACCTTTCAGAGCATCTCGACAAGACCACAAAACCCCTGCTGCTCTCAGGTCTTGCTGTAAGCAAGACCTGCAGCGTTTTCCGCGTTCGCTGCGTTCGCTGTTGCTTCGCTGTTGGATCGGTCGCCTCCGTCGCCTCCGTCGGATCGCTTGCCCCCAGGCACCTGCAGAGGATGGAGGCGAAGCGCTCTGAACGGGTGACTCAGCGAGGTGACGAGCGCTGCGTCAGGGAGCACGCAACAAGAGCCTAGCAGGCAGCCCATGAGGTTACTGCTTGCATGGCCATGCAGGAAAAGGATGGAAAAGGTGAGGGGTTGGGGAAAGCCATGTGTGAAGAGGTGGAGCAAAGTGTGAATTGAAACCTTGTGGGACCCCAGGGAAAGAAAGGAGAACAGACATATATGACATAAGCAAGTTGGAGGTTGAGTTGGTCAAGCTGATCAAGTGTAGAGAGCCTATAGACCTTCATGTCTCAGTATATGTACTGTATATAATATCCAGGTCCAGTTGCGTTCCACAAAAGCAAAGCAACATCCATCCACATAGCCACCAATCCACCATAATCCACCCATCCATTCAGCCACTTCTCGCTTTCAACCTCCTCCCGGCAGCTCGACTGGCCCCCGATCCAAGGCTTCCGACCCCGCCATGGATCCCGACGCAGATCCCGCCACAGACCACGCGGAGGCGGAGCCGCGGCCATCCGGCTTGGCAGAGCTGCAGCAGCTGGTCGTGGAGCCGCAGTGGAGCTGGTCCAAGGGGGCAGATGAGCACAGCAGACGGTCAACAGGTGGCAGACCCTCCAAATCTTCTTTTTCGGGCGTAACGGGTGGCTTTAACTGTTGGGCAACTCGTGTCAAGCACCTGGACCACGAAACCCTCAAATTTATACTGTTTTGCAGTAGAATTACATGGACCATCATGGACCCGGAGAGGAATTCCGCCCACTGATTTGCTTGGGAGATAGTAAACCTGGTTGGCAAATGGTCATGTCAAGTCTCCCAAAGTCTCCCATTTTATATAGGTTTTACATGTGCGATGTCGTTAGGTTTACATGTGCTTGATGTTGATTGTCCATTCTCTATATTGTTGCACTGTTGCTGTGGAGTTTTCAAAACAAGTACTATATAGTACGTTACACCAGCACACTGAACTAATACTACCCCTGGGCGTTGGATATCATCCACCGTGGTAGTACATCGTGCGGGTCTCTCCTCCCTTCCTGCCGTCCTCCCTTCAGCCGCAGGAGGTCCTCGCGCAGCTTTCGGTGCGCGACGCCTTTCTGGCGCTGCCGGCGGTCAGTCGCTCCGTGCGGTGCCTCTACAGCGACGTGGTGAAGGACGACGACGACGACGAAACCGACGACGGCCTTGGAGGGAGGAGGTTTTCGGGCTCCAAAACAGCAAAAACACCAACAGCGGCAGCTGCAAGGACCGCGGGGAGGAAGCAGCCCAGCATGAAGAGCATGTTTGTTTGGTTGTTTGAAGATGTTTGAAGCACTTGTTTGGAGAGTTGCATTGAGATGTCCCACGTGTGCAGAAGAATGCAGAAGGTGTTTCTTTCTTGGCTCTTTATTATGATGGGGGACGGTGGGAGTCCAGGCATTCGTGACAGTAGCATCCTTGACAGTAGCATCCTGGAGAGCATATCTCAACGGACAACGGACAAGGATGTCCGCCACTATATTCTTTTTCTGGAGCACAGAATTGGATGGAGATTTGGATGATGGGGGCGATGTTTGTTCACTAAGTCAATAAGTGGATGGACTACTCTACCACCTCCTAAGGCACGTGCTGCTGCACTGCCAATCTTCAAAGCGATTGATTTGGTGTTCAGGAGGAGGCAATTAACAGCTACCATCGCAAAGACAATAGAGCCTGATTTGGCTACATACTGTTTTGTATTGTAAGCTATGCCCAGCTTTGCGATGTTTGACATATTTGGGATATTTGAGCGAGAGCAACACTCCTTGTTTAAGTGCCACTTCAAATTCGGTGATTTACTTCGCACCGGCAGGGAACGACCGTCCAAGTGTGAGGCTTGTGACGCATGTAGCGGATGACATGGTGTGCTTCGTCAGACATTGTGACATGTAAAGAACACAAAAACATGTTTCTATACAGAAGCTTGCTTGCCTTGGAACTTTGGAAAGCCCACCAAACCGAACGGGAAGCCCTGTTTCTTTTCATCTAAAGCCTCAGAGTCAGGCCAGGGTCCAAGGAATCTCCCCACGGAGCCGGTAACTGGAGGAGCCTAGTGGGAGACTGGGCACCTTGGGCACCTAGAATTGCAGTCACTATAGTTTAATATATGGTGACGGTGATATGTAGATTAATGATTTATCTATTATAAGTATATCACTGCATGTGGTTAGAAAATGATGGAAACAACCCAATTAAGCCAGACACATTGACCAACAACCAGCTTCAAACGAGTGTCCCCCAAAAAAACAACTGACACAGTCATTCCCATATGGTCTATATACACATCCTGAAACATTGCACCTAAAAGGCTGCCCCATCCTAGAATTCTGGATCGGGACTAACTCGCACCAGAGGATAAAGATCTTCAGCCGCTTCGGCTCCCGCGACGGCTCACCGCGATGAATCCTTCAACGTGTCGGCGGTTTGAGACGCGTGAGACGCGATGCCAGACACGACCTGTTCTGGGACTATATTTTGCCAATTTTCCCGATCAGTTGATATCAGTTGGAGTGGTTTGGGGCGGTGAATGTAGG